TTTACAAGAATCAGCGGCTCGTATTCATCTCTTTCTTCTATCAATGTGGTGTATAGCATGGATCCATTTATCCACTGCTGCAGCGTTAAATGTCTTATAATTTCCTCTCAGCATCTGAATCAAAGAACCAACTTGTCCAGCAATGGCCAAATCATGCATAAGATCATCCTGTTCTCCATATAACTTCATAGGACCTAAGAATGCACACAAATACCATAGTTTTTGTATAATTCTTTTTTTTAATATTTTACAACTCATTAAAAATCAGTGCAAAATAAATTCCATGAAAAACACCCAAAAAGTTTTATCAGTGAAAATCAATTCCAGCTAAAAATAAAATATTTTATGGTATGGTATGGCGTAAAAACATCACATGTATTTACCTTGTTTTTGTGTGCCTTTTGTAGTAGACATGCTGCTTATGGTAGTCTTGCCTGGACTTTTCTCTATTGAAAACACCTCTCCTTCAGGAGGCTCTACTACCTCTACTTCTTTTAATGGAACACTCCATTTCAACTTGTACTTTGGTCCAGTAGTATCATAATTACTAACTGTTGACCTGTTTTAATATATCAACAAAATAAAAATATTAAATTAGGTGTTTTTAAGCTTTTGACATGTGTATGCTAAACATAGATAATAATAGAACAGCGGTTTTAGAGAATAAAATCCACTTTAAAGATATATAGTATACTTACTTATGTACAACAGACGCACAAATCACAAGATCTGTCAACATAAATATACGACGTTCATTTGTTTTCATCTCATCACCATTACTATTATAAGTCTGTGAAAACACAACAAAGTAACACATCAAATTGTGCTGCTTACCACATACATTTAGACAGAGTGTGGAATATTACCCTGGGAAATGTAATCAATATATAGTAACTACAATAAATGAATCCACTTTTCACAATAAATTTTCTTATTTTGAATACAATCTATTGAAAGCAAAGAGCAGCTTGCAGTTTTTAGACGAGATATCACATGCTATACTTGAGAATGGTGATAAGCAATTTACACGTCTTACAGTTTGCCTTGACTGTATACTGTATACATGCCTTTATATGTACAAACAATATCATGTCACTTTTTTTTTATTTTTTATTCTTATATACCTTGAATTTAAAACCAAATCTTGATTGAGATTTCCCAGCAATCCATCTCAATAATTAAATGTAATCTTATTATTATATTGTTATTTTCTTATTCATCTTCCTTTTATGTTCATTCATTCATCTCATTTTATAGGAAGCCCTTTATTTTTGCTTTCAGTCTATTACATCAACCAGTCATTCTCAGTCTCTTACATCAACCAGTCATTCTCAGTCCATTACATCAACCAGTCATTCTCAGTCAATTACATCAACCAGTCATCTCAGTATATTACATCAACCAGTCATCCTCAGTCTATTACATCAACCAGTCATTCTCAGTCAATTACATCAACCAGTCATCCTCAGTATATTACATCAACCAGTCATCCTCAGTATATTACATCAACCAGTCATCTTCCGTCTATTACATCAACCAGTCATTCTCAGTCTATTACATCAACCAGTCATCCTCCGTCTATTACATCAACCAGTCATCCTCAGTATATTACATCAACCAGTCATCCTCAGTATATTACATCAACCAGTCATTCTCAGTCTATTACATCAACCAGTCATTCTCAGTCTATTACATCAACCAGTCATCCTCAGTCTATTACATCAACCAGTCATCCTCAGTCAATTACATCAACCAGTCATCCTCAGTCTATTACATCAACCAGTCATCCTCAGTCAATTACATCAACCAGCCTCTCTTAGTCTATTACATCAACCAGCCATCCTCAGTCTATAACATCAACCAGCCATCCTCAGTCTATTACCTCAACCAGTCATCCTCAGTCTATTACATCAACCAGTCATCCTCAGTCTATTACATCAACCAGTCATCCTCAGTCAATTACATCAACCAGCCTCTCTTAGTCTATTACATCAACCAGCCATTCTCAGTCTATTTCATCA